GGGGAGGTATGGTTCACTGTTATATATACCCACTCACATACTTACACAGTCCGGGGAGGTATGGTTCACTGTTACGTATACCCACTCCCTTACTCACATAGTCCTGGGAGGTATGGTTCACTGTTACGTTTATACCCACTCACCTACTTACACAGTCCGGGGCGGTATGGTTCACTGTTACGTTTACTCACTCTCTTATTACACAGTCCGGGGAGGTATGGTTCACTGTTACGTTTACTCACTCTCCTACTTACACAGTCCGGGGAGGTATGGTTCACTGTTACGTATACCCCCCTTTTTACCCACACAGTCCAGGGAGGTATGGTTCACTGTTGCGTTTACCCACTCCCTCACCCACACAGTCCCGGGAGGTATGGTTCACTGTTAAATATACCAGCTCCCCTACTTACACAGTCCGGGGAGTTATGGTTCACTGTTATATACATTATACACCTACTCATTACCCACACAGTCCTGGGTAAAGCATCTCAAGTGACTCATGCTGTGCTCGCTGGTCGCCAGCATCAGGAAAAACTGCCACGTACCCGCGACGTGACGCCCCAAGTTAGGAAGCAGACCTCCAGAGGTGTCAAGTGGCTTCCAAGCGCCCCCCTGGCGTCATCATCTCATTTAAGAGTCTTTTGGATTGTGCAAGGCGCCCCATAAATGCTTTTGTGTCGCCTGGAGGTGTCAGAGTCCACGCTTAACTTTAATTGACGGATGTCATTGGCCGTCCCCTCTTGAAAGGAACCCAGTCTCAATGGGGCGAGAAGTTCCTTTGGCTTGGCGCTCCTCAGCATAAACAGGGATGGGCTTGAAGAGCGCCGGGAAATTATGATTTTTTGAGCAACTCTCAACGAGGAAGTGTCGATTTCAAAGGCGAGCAATTTAAGCGCGGCCAACTTCAATGGCTCCGTCAAGCAGTGTAAGGATGCGTTCTCTATTGGGCTCATTTAAAATGCTTTTACACGAAAAAATGCTTCAAGTGCCAATAATTTTCCATTGACGATACTAGAAAATGCGTATCAAGTAGAAAAAATGCTTTCTGTGAAACGTTTCAAATTTCTGCAAACGGTTAGAAAGATTTTTAGCTTATCTTCCGCAGGAATTCAGAATTGAATTCAAGCATATATTATCCATAGAAAATATTTTATTCCTACATTTCTTCATTAATTTAACATTCATAAATTTTTTCACACATTTTTTTCGCGATAATGAGAGTAAACCGACCATGATACACATTTTTTTCATCAGCAAATAAAAATCGACAATTTTCCACACAAGTTGTTGTCAGTTCACTATATCACGTCGATGATTAATTGATTAACATATGTCCGTCATTAGTAAGTGCGTAGTAATATTTATAATTCATTCGGTAACATGTCGATTGATCTTTAATCAACTCATCGTAAAGTTATTGGAATATTAATTTACATGTCAATTAATCATCACGTTGATAATTTAAATGTACATTTACATGTCAATTCATCATTATTACATTTAAAATAATGTTACTGATGCAGTTATTTACATGTCAATTCGTCAATAGTGCGTTCAGAATAATGTATATAATGAATTTATTACCATGCCAATTCATTATATGTAAATTCTTTATCATAATAATAAAAAACTGCCATTGCAGTCTATTACGATTTATATATCGCCTCCCGCGTACAGACGACACTCAAATCAAACACAGAGCATATTTTGCCCACACTAATTAAGCCTAAAACATCTCAAAGATTTACTAATGATTGCTAATTATTGCTGGCCATACCCGTAGAAAATTCAGACCAAATTTCGAAGTTTGGCATGAACAAACGTCCATGAAATTATTACTGATGGCCGTATTATCGACGGCCGACTACAGGCCATTCTCATATGCTTCTTAATTATAATGTCATTTGAATTCTCCTCGTGCTCGCAGTGCTACCATAGGTAATATTAACAGCTTGATGAACAAGCTTCTGTGTTCGCTTTGATTGAGGTCACAATTAGCGTCAAGCGTATAGACTTTATTTATGTGCAGGTGCTATAAATACAAATATGCGTAGGGGCTACATGGATGCCTGAGCAGGGTTGTCAGGCTCTCCCGACACGCCACGTTACAGCTACGGCCTTTTGGTGCCGTGCACTGCTTTGTAGCTACGCGTGTATGGCGAGCAGTGTATTTACTGTGAATTGTGAGCATTTTAGTTATCGCGCACGGCGAGCACTGCTGTATTGTATTTACCATGAATTGTGAGCATTTTAGCTACCGTGCACGTCGAGCAGTGTATTTACCATGAATTGTGAACATTTTAGTTGTCGCGCACGGCAAGCAGTGTATTTACCATGAATTGTGAGCATTTTAGTTACCGTGCACGACGACTCCTGTAGTTACCGTGCAGGGTGAGTTCTGTAGTTACCGGGCTAAGCGCACATCGTAATTACCGTGAAAGTGTGCGATGTAGTTAGCGTGCGCAATTGTTTTTTAGTTACCATGCAGGGCAAGTTTTGTAGCTACCGTTTTATGGGGAGCATTGCGTATACCGTGAAAAATATGATCATTGAAGTAACTGAGCGCGCAAGGTAAGTCGCGTAAAGATCAGTAAGCACCTATCAGTAAGCACATAAGCAAAGATCAGTAAGCACCTTTTTTTCTCTTTTTAGGACCAAAGAGAAAAAAGCTTTTTATAGTGCACGGTAGCTATCAAATAAGATGGGCCTCTACAATTTTCATAAAAAAGTGTTCAACTAATTTTAAATCCGTCGTTAAACTGCCAATTTCGTAGAACTTTACCCATCGCCCAATTTTCCAGCCTCCTTGAAAATCTCAGCCCGGGACGCAATAACTTATGTTATTTAACGTCTTCTTCGTTCATGAGCGCACTTTTCCCAGGAAAGATTTGAATCAAATCAGTAATTTCGTGCTTCAAGAAAGGGCTTACCGACGCTAGAAAACCTCCAGCATTGACCGTATCTTGTGACGTAATTGGAGTCTGAAGGTCTCGCTTCTGATGATAGACGGTCTTATTAAATGGGCGCTAAGATGAAGACATCGCGCTGTATCCACACCAAGCTGCTCAGTTACTATCGAGCTTGTCTCGTTAGTGAATTTTTTTAACTCGAGTTGGAATTACACAAAGTTACAAAATATCTAGTCATTTAATATTGAATTTAAAAGACTGTTCCCTGGACTACAAATCCAAAGTTTTTGAAATTACGCACACTACCATTGAGTTATATCATGTTGTAGAAAACGCTGAATATATTCACGGCGTTCACAGGATCGTTTTTGCTATGTTCTCTATCTGAAAAAAATTGCTCGGATAAAAAAAATTCTGAATCATAACACCACCATCACAACAGTCGTGTGTGGTGAGTATCATATCACAACAGAAAGACGCGGTAATTTGCGAGTCATGTTTTATACATGTCATATCAAACGGAACACTCACCACTCTGTGCTGGATATTTTTAAGGGGGGTGCCTCGGAAAAAAAAACTTTTTTATCTATGGACGGATAATTTTGAAACCTTATATACATGAGTAAAACAGAATTCTAAGACTTTTTTGAACATGTAAATTTTTCGAAAAAATGACAGACAACGTGAATTTCATAGAAAACGGCAAGAAAGGAGGTACCTAATTAGAAATATCCTCCAATGATTTTCAAGCTACAACATCGAGATCCATATCATTCGATGCGTAAAGACCACATCTAGCGATTCGGAGCAGCTTTTTTCGAATTTCTCATTTTTGTGGGTGGAGGATTTTTCGTCCGTTTTTCGATTTTCTCCAATCCCCCTCCCCATTTTTGCAAAATATAATCCAAACTATAACAAAATTCCAAAAAGCTAGGAACATTCTCTACATAGATATTTTCTTTAAGAATTGAATGGTGTATCTCTCAATGTTGTAGCTTGAAAATCATAGGATGAGATAGGTTTTAAAGATGAAAATTTCAACTTTTCAATGGAGCCAAAAAACTGAAATTTGTGATCATCGAAAGTATAGGTTTTACTTGCGCTTCAACGGCTGTGGCGAGCGAACAAACAAACGCACATAGACGAGTTTACAGTCGTTGGATGCGCATTTTTCTGAGCTTTAAAATGAACCTAAAAACCTAAAAAGCCAAAAGTTTTGATTTTTTAGAGTTAAAAATCCAAGTCTATCTCGTAACGGCTAGAGCAGGCGGAGGGCTGAGATTTTACCATGAGCAGGCTGCTCACTGCTCAGGGCTCTTAACACAAGTTAGGATGCAATTTTTCATAAGACAATGTAGAGCACCACCGCACATCACACAAAATAAAGCACCACCGCACATCACTTAAAATAAAGCACCACCGCACATCACACCAGATGAGGCATCATCTCTCACCCCAGATCACACCCCCGATACGCGGTGCGCTCTCAGCGCCTGTTCAAACAAACGCCATCGTGGCGCTATGGCAGAGCTTTCTTGTTAACCAGCGACTAGGTTGGTGGTGACCGTTGCATTTGGTTGTTAGTGAGTCATTTGGTTGATGGCGAGCCTTTTGTTCGATGGTAAGTCATTCTTTTACCGAGACTTTATCGCTATTGTATTAACTATTTTTTGATGTAGAGGCCACGCGGCAACTGTACAGGCAATGAGGGAGAAAGAACATTCTATCACATCATGAAAATTTGTTGCATCGCTGGTAACTTAATCAACACGTTAAGTGCGGCTATGTCACTTTTCAGGGCTTATTTCATACCGGTGTTACGACATACCGGTGGATCGTATACCGTACTAAGAGTACCTTAGTAATGTTAAATAAGTAAGGTACTCTTAGTTAATAATAAGAGTAAGTTACTCTTAGTTAATAAGTAATTAATGTTAAATGAGTAATGTTAAATTGCCTAGCGTCAATAATAGCAGGGCAGTAAGCAGACCATGACGAACTAAAACCCTGTAATTGGTGGCAAGAAAATGCACAAATTAACTTTCTGACAATGTGGGTTGCATGAATATCATGTTATGGTACAGTACTCACCCAATCTCAGCAGCAGCAGACACAGCAATAAAAGATGATTATACATTTCTGATGTGTTTGAAGTCACAAAGGCACTTTTGGATCTTTATCTAGTTAAAAAATAGCGATATTCTTTCTAGTAACAAGAAAAAATGAATTTATTCGAAATCCAAGTCTCTCGTCACGCGTTCTGCCTCACAGCATCATCTTATTTTATCAAAACAAATCGCATCGGTTGGGTTCACGCGCGGTTACCTACTATCATACTGTAAAAGAAATCTGCAATGAAAAGGAAAATCTGATGAGATAATCGATTAATTTTTAGTAGAATTATATATTATACCAGTAAACAACAGTAGGATTGCTACTACCGTCATTAAGCAAGCCAATGCGTGAAGCGATTACGTCTAGAACTTTATTCTAGGAAGTTTGAACGGGGTTTCGTACGGATATATCATACTAATGAATTTTTAGAGTTAAATAAATGACAAGATTAACGGGAACTATTATTTACTCTATTACTGTAATAGTAGTAATTATAATATTATAATATTTTATAGCAATTTATGTTAAGTAATTTTAATATTACTATTATAATTACTTTATCATATTGTAATCAAGATTAATTACTTTACGATCATATTGTATCGGGTGCTCCAAACATCAGGTATTGCAAGCAAAAGTGCTCTACACGTCTGGCATTGGTACTCAAAAATATCAGTTTCCCGTCCATGACAGGATCTTCAATGATCTTTGATCTTCAATGAAATCTGACTCAGAAAACGTGGTCCAGTTCGGTCCCTCCTAGACGCGTCTCTTTCAATGAGCTGTCATTTCGACGGCTCAATTTTACCATTTCACTTTCACGAATCATGAAAGGAGCTTTCACGAGATCACAGACTACCTTATTGCACATCAATGATTTCATGACACCTTCGGTAAAAGGCGACAGTGGAAGTGTAACGAAAGGCTAAGCCTCCACTTCATTCTTTCATGTATTGCTTCTTTGTAACTCAAATATGGCCCAAAGGGACGGCTAAACCATGAGCAAATAATCGGCGGTCAACCATTGACTGTATTATGTTCGAAGAAATTTTTTCGGCCAGGTTTTCAAAAGCATTTTCCGGTTAAAGAATAGAGCCAAGGTTCAGATTTCAGACCGGGTGTGATGCGATGATATGCACTGAATATGTGTCGATGAATGAATTGCTAAAGTGTCAAGATTTTTATACAAACAGAAAAGTTACTAAAATTATACAAACAGTTATAATAAGAAAAGTTAATGAAATTATATAACAAATTATACAAACAGAAAAGTTAATTTTCTTTATTATATCTCTGAAGGCAATATTTGTCGAACATCAAGAACAATTTTGTCGTCGAAGTATGGCTACAAAAGGCGGAGGTTAAAATTTCAGGAATTCACCGTTTTTTACGAGCTATAGCGACTGGCTTACAGATTTGGAATTTCAGATCATAATAGCCTGTCGTCTAACGGCCAACGTCTCAAGAGCTCAAACTAAGCGTCAGCCAGAAGCCCTCGTCTCGAAAATTTGCATAATTCCAAAACAAACAGCGAACAATTCCCTAGAAAATACGATTAATTTCCTGAAGCTTGCTCATCAAAGTGTCCGGTAATAAGGGAGGCTTGCAAGAGCGTGTCTTTTATGCGTGCCTTACCAAGGGCTCTATAATTACCGATCATTTATCGCACAAACAAATGTGATGCGGGTGTCAGATACTCGGGCCGACCCATGGCTTATGGCGGACAACATCGCTTTGGTGAAAGTCTAAGTGTTACTTGGTCTCCGACAATAGCCCCCTGGTCTCCGACAATAGACCCCTCGTTCTCAAGAAGACCTTCATAAAAACCATGTGAAGATCTGATACGAGTGTGAAATTTTCGCTTGTTGAGATGACTTGGGATTTGGGCTTTATAGGTTCAGTGATCTATGCGATCTCTTCTCGATCCCAGGCATGTAAACTTGGGCAAACAGCCGGCGACTAAATTAAAGCGTCCGAGTTCAAGTGGCTAATTTGCTGTCTACTGCTTTGAGGAGCTCAAATGCATGGCTAAGATAAATGCAATGTGAGTTATTTACGCACCATACACAGAATAAACATGCCGAGCCCTAGATCAAACAGTTGCAATTTTTTAAGAGTGCTGAGCAGCGTAAATGAGTTTTTTTGAAGTGATGAGGAGAACGCACCGAGCACTTGTTCACTCTTCTCGCGTAAAATTGCAATTGTGATACGCATTGTTTTATTCGAGCTCTTTTCTGCGTTGAAATTCATCGTATGACGACATTCAGGGTAGCATTCTGAAATTCATGTGCGTGAAGAGCAAGTCATTTATGATTAACGACATAAGCATGAATAAGGCATTGTGAGCGTGATAATCATTTTACGTTTTACGAATGCAAACATCAAACAGAACCACACATGGGAAATAATTTTCAGAATAAAATTTAACGATAGGAAGTAAATAATGCCCCGGAATGTGTTTGTTTTTCAGCTTTTCTCCTCTAAATAATTGACTCGCATGATAGATCCACTTTTACAGAGAAAAGAGAAAAAAACATTGAGGAAGAATTTTGACGCGTTTATAATCGAGATGTTTGCATGACATCCAAGTATGTTTTGAGCGCCATCTTATAACAATAAAAAGATATAATGTTTGTCATATTGATTGCGTTTTTAAGGCGGGGAAAGAACGCACGTCTTGAATGACGGCAGACACAACGAATTAATTAACTTGCTGATGAAGAACGTCAACATTGAAGCTCTACGCTGCGATCCTGACTGTCAACGCCACGCCAAGTGTCAACTCCGCCAGCCCGTACTTGGACGTGTAGACGATCCCCGGACACCATCACAATTTGTTCATCAATTAACAACAGAATTCTATTCAACAGCAAGGAGTGCATTCCCTTTGATGCATCTCTTCTATGTATCATATAGATGTACGACTTTGTTGTATCATTTTCAAACTCGTATGGTTAAAAAAAGTTAATTTGGAAGTTGATATCGTGAATTTCATGCAATGCCAAATTTTTCAATCACTTCATTATAATAGGAAACAAATAAATTAATAAAAACAGTACAATACACACCTGCTTCTCTTAACTAAGTCACTATGAAAACATATCATGAATATGACACCACTTTCATTATTCTAAACTGATCAAACTATACTTAGTTGTTGACAATCCGATGACCCCCACGTACAGCAAGTGTAGCCATCAGTGAAGTATCGTGCCCGGTGTTAGGGTCTGGTCTTACATTCAAATAAGGCACGTGATATTTGAGCCGCCATTAACCTTAGCTGGTCACGGGGTTCATTTTACAATAGAATTGCAGGAGGATCATTGCTGGCCAAAGCTTAGGCGGCTCAGATTCTGCTCTAATTTTCAGCAAGGTACGCAGGACCAAAAGGGTGAACGCGTTAGACGTATAACGTGGCGTATACGAGTGAACGCGTTAGACGTATCACGTGGCGTATCAGAGCGAACGCGTTAGACGTATAACGTGGCGTATCAGAGCGAACGCGTTAGACGTATAGACGTATAACGTGGATATCACAGTGAACGCGTTAGACGTATAACGTGGCGTATCAGAGCGAACGCGTTAGACGTATAACGCGGCGTATCAGAGTGAACGCGTTAGACGTCTAACGCGGCGTATCAGAGTGAATGCGTTAGACGTATAACGCGGCGTATCACGACATTGCAAACCGGAACAAAGACATAATACAAATAAATAAATCAAGTCAATACAAATAAATAAATGAACAAAATTTTCAACAGCTTTACCTGCCTTATTCAGAGCTTCTTGCTAGACAGGAAGTCAATAATACGATATCAAATACATGTATTATATAATATCGAAAATTTGTTTCCCCTCATCAATGCAAACTTAGTGAGAATAATTCAATGTTTAAGTATAATTTAAGCACGTAATAATAACCCAGAATCAAATAGTAGGATGAATATAACTGTATTAGTTTGCCATCGACCTCTCTTGCGAGAGAGCGAACAGCACGTATGAAACTGCCTAAGCTGATTTCGATTCGACGAGGCAAAACATTATTTTTAATGCTATTAAATTTACAATATAGTTAACATTAACATCAACAAGCCCATAAGAAAATGGAAATCTATTGTACAAAGACGAAAGATTTCTTCCTCTCACGTATTCTTGCTGCATGGCCAATAAATAAAATGAACCAAGGGAACACAGCCGTGGAAGGAGTGCTTGGTGCTGGTAGTCGCCGTTGCCGTGAGAAAAGCTACTCCAGATACTACAGTAACCGGTGGTTACACAGCTGGAGATGTAACACTACTCCAGATACTACAGTAACCGGTGGTGACACGGCTGGAGATGTAACACTACTCCAGATACTACAGTAACCGGTGGTGACATGGCTGGAGGATGTAACGCTATACTCCAAATACTATAGTAACCGGTGGTGACATGGCTGGAGGATGTAACGCTACTCCAAATACTACAGTAACCGGTGGTGACATGGCTGGAGGATGTAACGCTACTCCAAATACTACAGTAACCGGTGGTGACATGACTGGAGGATGTAACGCTACTCCAAATACTACAGTAACCGGTGGTGACACGGCTGGAGATGTAACGCTACTTCAAGACTTGACAGAAGCAATCAGTGTTGTTTCTTGCACTGCAGTGACTCACTTCTCTGCAGGAGCAAGAAACACAGAAACACTACTTCAAATACTGCAGCGATTCTTCAGATACTGCATTGATACTGCAGCGTTTCTTCATACACCGCAGATATACTGCAGAGTTATTTCAGTTACTGCAGAGATCCTGCAGTGTTGCTTCAGATACACACCACGACTCGGCAGAATTGAAACTCTCCCAGTAACTGTCCAGTGCTTGGCATGCTGATCAGCGATGCTTGCAGAGCAGCAATTCGCTTTGGGTCTCCCGAGCGACACCTCGACGCCCTGACGCAATGACTTCTAAACTTCAAACAAACGCCGAACAATCGGACGCATTTACACGACATTTATGAGTGTCAGAAGATGAGGCTGTAGCGCACACAAATGAGAAAATCCAGAAGTAAGCCTTCGGTGTTCAAAAAAATTCTAACATGAACATTTAAAAAAAACAGGGAACTGTATGAACGATGTTCAAACAATTTATTGGAAGATATGCTGACTTGTCTAGGTTTGTTCCGATCTTAACCAGAAACAAGCATCTATTTCTTTTAACTTTGATAAGAACGATCGCATGATCCGGAAC